CATTGAGTGCACTTAACGATATGGTCTTGTGTCGAAACCCACGCTTTCCCAATCCCAACAAAGAATCGGAGAGCGAAACAAAGAGCATAATCTCTGTGCTGTGGAAGATTCTCCACACGATCTTGGACCGGGCTTGCGACTAGACTAATTTTAATTGCTCACTTGCTTCAATGCTGCTTGGGCAATTCAACTTTGACTATCATAGTGCGAACATAAAACCGGTTCGCATAACGATTTCCCCCGAGCAAAGTGAGCAAAGTTCAGCAAACTGACGACGTATATGGGGCCGATAAGCTCTTAACGATCCAGATCATGAATGAAATTTAAGTGCGGATATAGCACACTCCGCACCCATCCCATGATCTTTCAAATGCCAGGATAAATCAGAGATTTAAAATCGCAACCTGCTTGTGATTTCTCATAAAATCTAAAAATGGTTAGGGGTCCATTTCTACTAATCTACCAAAAAGTCCTTAAAGTATGCTAAGATATCTGACAATCGTTGATGGAGAGAAACTACGATAGTAATGCATACTTTTTAGAATGCAAACTAAAAGCTATAAAAAAGTAAGCAAATGGTTATAAGGAAATGGATATAAGACATTAATGGCTTATGGAAAAGAGCAGACGCGAAACGTTGTGGATGTGTATGGAAAGGACGTTAATAGATCGAATGCGAACTGAGGAGAGAAGTTGGAGTAGTGGATAATCATAATCATCGTTTCAAAAATTCAGCATACGCCACGTTGCAGTCAAGACTCAGCGGAAGAGCTGCTTTTGAAGCCAAACGAATGAGCTGACCGGAATTGTGTTCCTCTACCAATCCGGTTAGCAATTCGTGGCAACTGCACCGCCGAAATGAACCCCAGTGTATGAATCCACCCACTTTTCCCTGTTCGCCAGCTGCTTTTCCTTCCGACTGCCTAATCAGGCATCGTCAAGGACTCGCTGGAGAAGGAAAGCTGGCTGTTTGCCTTGCTGGCTGCTTTATGAGCTTAGTCCGTGTGCTTTACTACCCAATTAAGCTAGGAAATACATTTAGCAAACTAATGAATTATAAACACACACACAGGCCAGCAGCATCTGCACACGGACGTGGAAAATCCCGCCAAAAATCTGGAATGTGGCAGAATAGGAACTGGGACCTTCCGACCTTTAGATGCCCTCCTCCAGATCAGTAGTCTGCAACTCTAGCAAAACCATCTATGTAGTTTCTACTCATATGTGTTCCACATAACGGTTTTTCCTCTGAAATTATATCTATACAAAAATGTCGACGAGTAGTCGACGTTTAGATCCTAAAGATAATTAGAAGCGCATAGAAAGGCTTAGATTTATCAGCTTTTGCGCCGGGCTTCTCAAAGGTTTAACGAAAGCTATCCAGCATAAATCCACTTGCCAATGCACAGCTTTCCTTTCTGCCAACTAGTTAAATATTTCAGATTCCATACGGAACCAGTTAACTTTCCTCTTCGTTAGCTGCTGCCACACACCTGTGCCCCCTTGCCCTGGAATCAAACGTGGCACGCCGTGCTCCGCTTGCAGCGCTGTATCCTTTTAAATGAAATTAAGCTAATTTGGGAAACAGGCAGCGCGTCATCGTCGTCCTGGCCAAGGGAATGGATACGATGGAAACGGCAACGGAACTCATTCTCGCCGTGGAGTTTAATTCAATGCAGAGGGAGGCCAACACACACACTAGCACGAACACAAGCTCATGCATATGCAAACCCCCTTTCGGCGTGCTAAATCAAAGTTGTCTGTGTTAGCCATTTGCAACACATGCTACACGTCTGTGATTCCCCCTACTTTTGGCTACCATGCCACCTGCCCGCCGTCCGTCCGTTTGGCCTGGTATTGTAATTTATTATCCTGCATGGCAAAAAGGATTTTCATCAATTAATCATGCTGATGATGCTGCTGCAGCTAGACAACACTAACGCATCGTTTCCACTGTCCGTTGTCCGTTGTCCATTGTCCCGTGTCCGTTATCCAGAATTCGACCTAAAGTCCTAAACTGCGACTCCTTTCCCTTGAACAAAAGATTGAGGCCTGAGTTATGAACCACAAACCTGATAAATTAGTGCAAAATAAAGGTGGGCTAGGGGTTAGGGGTCAAGGTGGAATGTGGAGGGCGCTCCCCAACTGTCTTCATGGCAAATGCAAGATGAATCAAGGGACTCTTTCAGTCTGGTGAGCCCGACTTAAAGGTCTGCACTTGAGGCATATAAATAGATTAATCAGCATAAATAACAGCTTAGGCGTGTCTGGCCGAAAACGCCTAATTTAATACATTGAGTTTGAGGTTAAAGAAAATTAGACGTCTACTTACCCTGTTAGTTATTCTAATTAGAATTTACTAAATGTGCTTGTGTTCAAGATGAAGTGCCATTTAAATTATTAAAAATTTATCACGCTTCCAGTTTCTAATCTATATAATTGGACTTCTGGTTTATTTCCTTGAGTCCAACTAACAAGTCGATTTTGAATTAAAATTCTTAAGTTTCAGTGTATTTTAATGTATTTTAAGTCCTTAAAGCTGGCCCACTACGCAGTTGGCCTTGGCCTTACTGACTCCCTGGCCAAGCTCCTCGGACTCCCGTGTGTCCTGGCCTTTCGGTCCGCATGTGGCATCCTGTCTGGGGACCGTGATTTATGGAGTGCGAGGCGGGTCGACTTGCCTTGGCAGTCAGTGCACTCTGTGTGTGCGGGCATTTTAATTCGATACCCGAGTAAATCAGCTTAAAGTGCACGAATGGCCTTTTCATGGACGATTTCATCAATTATTCAAATCCAAACTGCTGCTCTAAGTAAAAGTAAATTATTGCCTGGCGGCAGCAGACTGGTAAAAACAGGAACACAGCCAGAACAAAGTCTGAGGCAATTTTTCGTATAGTTTATTATGCAAAATTTAATTTTAATAAACAAATAGGGCAAATGAAGGTGCAGCTGGCATAGTCGTGTTGTTTGGGGCCAGGTCAAAATGACCAAATGCATTGCGATGGGAATGCTTGTTTGGCAGTGCCTTTCAGTTCAAATGATTGATTGACTGTTTGCTCCACTATGTGGGTGGACCAAAGCCAACAGGATTACTTCTGCCATGGCCCTGTTAAATTACCTTATTATTTCCATTTGCGGTTTTCAATTAGATTGAGCTGTGTTCTTGTTTTCCCAGAGCCTAATGCCATGCCACCATGCCACATACATGTAGAGAAGTCATTGTTGGCATTCTAAGTAATTGGAATTGGTGTATAGTTGCGCTAATCACAAGAGAGTTCTTGTTTGTACATGAAAGTACTTTAAGGAGTAATAAATGGAAGCTTGTAACATGTGTGGACAAATAGTTATTATTTGTGGGGAGCAAGGAGCAGATTAGGTAAATTCTTCTTTGGTTGTTTTGAAGTATACGTAATCTACATAAGCTTTTTGAAAAGCGCGTAGAGGGGTGCTGATGATGTAGAGCCTTATAATTTGCATAAGTGGGCGGTATCAAAGATATTTCATATCCAAAAATCAGCTACCTAAGCCAACTCCTTGGAAGCTTTTCCCACGTAAAATAATTCAGCTCATTAGTGGGGCTTCCTTATCATCTTCCCAGTCAACTTTGGGCTTCTGAGTGGCTTGTTTTTAGTCAGCCACAGCATTTCTGATGTTAAGGGTGTGGGGTTCCAGTTCGGGCGGGGCTAATTCGGGCCATAAATTTGCTGCTGCTGCTGGTTGTTGGTTGCTGGTTGCATGTTGCTGCGGCTGCTACTCCCAGCACAACTAAGCTTCGCCTCCGCCTCGCTGATATAATGTGACACCAGCTGCTTAATGTTTTGGTTAAAAGCATTCTAAGTGAAATGCAACAGGGCGGAGACACGAGCGCGGAGTTGTTGCAGTCGACTTTCACTGGCCGCAAGCTGTAGACAAAAGAAGGAGCTTCAGGGGGTCTGGTTCGGGGTCTGGGCGTGGTGGTCGGCAAAGTGGAGGCGTGCCCTGCTCAGGCTGGCAATTTGCTTAAGCGAAAGGTTGCCACATATGAGCCAAGGAGCACAAGTTCTAGCGACGACAGTGGGTCGTAGGTATTATTCAAAGGAAAATAAGTATTAAGTCTTTGCAATATAGGAACATTAACCACTACACATTTTTGAGATTCGCATAGAAGAGGGCTAAAAATAAATAGCTTCAGAGTAAACAGTATTTTGAAATATTTAGAAATATTATTGTATTTCTTAAACCAACAATCGGATAAGGCTACCAAACTATGTACAATTTTGTAATTTTAATCCTCGGTTTTGTCATTACTTGACACTGTTCAGGACTGTGCGAAAGAAGTTGCTGCTGCTGCTGCTTTTGCCTGCGGCTGTTGTGGCAACATCATCATCATTCATTTGCGCCCAGGTGCGTTTTCGCGTGCACTCAGTACTTCCCCGCTTAGTTGTACTCGTATTTGGGTCTGGGTTTGGGCTCGGTCTTGGGTTTTCATTCCCGGTGTCTGTTGCACACCTTGCGGCAACTTTCTGCGGATCCTTGCAACGATGCCACATGTGAGGCGCCCCCTTCTTGTTTGTTATTCTTAGAACTTGCGCCTGATTCCGCTCGGCCGGTTTTGTGTGTCTGCTCGAGTTTCAGTTGCTGTCTGCCTTTCGGTTTTGGTTTCCGTTTCTGTCGCCTGTTTTTGGGAGCTTTATCTGGCCGAAGTCTGGCTTAATCCAAGACCTTAAATTGCAATTATAGAAAACTTCGATGTTACACAACCGAAGTATCAATAAGGGCCTGCTTAACTCGATTATTTGCTAGGTGACAGATGGTGTACTGAGTTTTGTTTGTCATCAGAATTATTATTTCGCAATTTCTTTCTACCTGTTTACACTAGTCAGCTTGGGGCTTTACATGTTCCGATCCATAAGGTCACCGCTCCAAGTCGGCGCATAAAGAAAACAGCTTATCAAATATTTCGGCATACGTTTGGAACAGACGGCGTCGAAGTCGCAGCGCAGTCTGCAGGTTGTTGAATCTGGAGGCCAGTTCCGGATCAGTCGGGAGTCGAAATGTCGTCGAGCTACACGCGCCTATTCCGCGTCCTTTTCGTGATCATCTTCCTGAAGTTGCTCTTTCTTTTGGCCCTATATCTGCACAGTTACGATGGTGTTACTCGATTCCGGAAGCACCAGCAAGTGGATATATTTGATGAGCTGCTGGTAGATCGAAGGGAGAGTAAGAGTGGATCCTTTTCTAGTACAATCCTGCTACTGGTAGGATAAAAGGACTTTTTTTGTACAGTCTCCAGCTCTTTTAAAGACTACAATCTAGGGATAACAACACCATTTGTCCTCTGGGATGCTAAGTGACCAATTTCAATTTTAGTGCCCTCTTTGGAAAAGCGTTTGGAGTGGATTCGCGAGGAGATGCCCTCGTTTCCGCTGGAAGAGCTCCTGGCCAGGGAAAAACGGGCTCTGCCCCCGGTGTCCTGTGGACCTGCCCCCGATCTGATGAACATTGACTTCCACAACACCTATTGGCAGAGGGCCATTAACGGCAACCTCACATACTACCTATTTGCAGCCTACTACGATGAAAGAGAGACGGTGCCAGAGGCGCCACTGGTTCGTCTTTTGACCATGGTGAACCAGCACGATGACAAATCCTTTAAGTACCCCGAAATCTTCTGCCAATTTTGGTTTGAGGGCAGGGCTAAGCCGGTTATTGTTCCCGTTTCTGAGCACAGGGTGATGTGGCCCTTTTATCATGCCCCCCGACGTTACTACCCAACGTTCTTGAGCTGTCCTCTGCCGGAGGAAGAGCTTCAGCGGGAGGTGCCCAAGATGGTTTCCCTGGTGGCCAAGAAATGCGATATGGCAAGGAATCTCCTGAGGGTGGTGTACGAAGTTGACGAACCTGAAAGTACGGGAGGGCCCCTGGGGAACACTACCACCTCCTCCTCTTCGTCGGCGTCATCCAGTGATCCCAAATTTGTGGTATGTGTAAAGGCCATGGATTTTCCGTATGAAGATAAATCCTGGCGTTTGATCGAGTGGTTGGAACTGATGCGCTTGTTGGGCGCCCAGAAAGTGGTACTCTATGATGCCCAGATGCATGCGAATATGACGAGGGTGGTCAAGGACTATCTGATCACTAGTCCCGGCTTTGTGGAGCTGCGTAAAATGTCCCTGGGCAGAGGTGAACCGCATGTTCCACCGCACTTCCATCACTACGCAATGATGGCGGATGGTTTCAATCGGATCCTGAACGAGATGATACCGTACAACGACTGCTTCTACCGCAACATGTACAAGTACGACTATGTGGGTGTGTTCGATATCGACGAGGTGATAATGCCCCTCGGAAATTGCACCACCTGGCCGGAGTTGGTCAAGCTGGCCCGTATTGTCCCGGACTACGAGAGTCGCACGCCGGCTGACTGCACGGAATGGGTGAGCTTCTGTTTCCGCAATGTCTACTATCCGAGGTATCCGGAGCGCCCGAAGGTCTACAGAAATCTCTCCAGCTCCTTCTATATGCTGCAGCATGTGGAGCGGGTGAGGGAACATTGCAATCGCGGGGCGGCAGCCAAGTGTCTGCACGACACCCGATTTGCCATCGGACTGCACAACCACTTCACCTTCTTCCACACCGAGGAGGCCGCCTGTGCTGCCAAGTCGGTGCCCATCGAGTTTGCCCAAATGCAGCACTACCGGGAACCGGATACCAAGTCCTTGCTGATCGATCCCATTGTGGACGCCAGTATCTGGAGATTCCAGCCCCAGCTGCAGGCTAGGGTGGAGGAGCGATACCGAAGGTTGGGTTTCCTTCCCAGCGATCAGCAACTGGCGGACACTCTCGAGAAGCGTCGCAGGCGGGATGAACAGCAATTGAAGGAGGCAGTGGGTAGAGCATAAGGTTTCAATCGTGTGATCTTACTTAGAATATGTCCTATAGATAGCCTGGCAGATGGCAAATGTACTATCGTTTTCGATAGCTAAATTTTACTTACTCTTACAAATGCAGATGCAGCTGGAATGTATGACTAAGAATCCTTGATTCTTCGTATCTATATCCCCAATTCCTTTTTTGCCAACAAGAAAACCTTACGTATTACCATCTGCTGGGATTTATTTTTTTTCTTTTGTTATACCTATATAATGTAAATATTTGTCAAAGAAATACAAAGCTAATTTTTTGCTTCTTTAGAGAAATGTTAAATATTGGAAATGTAAACAAAAATGTTAGATAGCAAATAATATAATATGCCTATGTGCTTAAACGAAAGTTTTTATATTGATAAGCGTATTTCCAAACTTATGAATCATTCAGCTGCGCACACAAAATAAACGTTAAGGAAGTTTTCGACCGTATGTGGCATGATGGCTTACTTCACAAGTGGAAGTCCCTATTCCCACAAAGTGTTGCTGTTTAAATCAATTGTGGTGCCCTCGATGACTTATTGCATCCAATTATGGGGCATGGCTTTAGACTCGAACGTCATGAAAGTTCAAAGTGTCCAAAACCGGGCGCTGCTTATGATTGCAGATGCGCCGTCTGGAACGACGCCCTAGCAAATGACCTCCACATTCCCTCTGTCAGGAAGCAGATTAACCGGATTAATCGGTACAACGAACGGGTCCACAGGTCACACCACCTAGCACCAACGATTAAAAGAAGACTGAAACGAAGGCGCCCCAGCGATCTCTGGACAAGGGGACGTCATGTTTCTCCAGTACTAAAGCAGTAATTTGTTTTTTATTTTTGTTCAACTGTTATACAAATTGTTAACCACGTCTATTCATATTTACTGTTTCACTTTACACGCAACGTATTAAGCCATTAAATTGGTTGATCGACGTTAAAATAAATTGATATGTAACTTTAAAAAAAAAATCCCTCTGCCATTTCCAAAAAATTGTAATGTATTTTGTTGTTTTATTTTTTGGGTCACTGAATAGTGTTAAACAATTAAAATATTAGATAAGTATTTGCGAAATGTTGATGTGTCTTAAATCCTTGGGCATGGCTTTTTTTTGGGTTACCTATTTTTATAGGTTGGGGCAGTTTTAACAATTAAATTGTGGATTTTAAACCGTTACTCGTAGAGTAAAAGGGTATATTAGATTCATACGCTTTCGTTAGAAAAAAGCGCTTCCGATCAGGATCACTAGCCAAGGATCAGGAACGCCCATAATGCCAAATACATAGGTCTATCTGGCGCCCACATTTTAATATTTTGTAAAAGTGTAAATGGTTTTGGTTATCAATAGCCATCCACGTGCCAAAAATTATTCAAATCGTACCAATCCTCGAAAAGTTTTAAGGAAATAAAGGAATCGAAACTAGGTGGCGCTGGGTGCAATCGCGGGATCAGTATCTTTACCGTTGCATGTCTTCTTCATCCTCGCACTCCCTTTATTTAGGTAACGGGTATCTAATAGTCGAGAGAAAGCGTTCTCTCTTGGGTTTTTTTGAGTGCCTGACGCAAGTTTTCGTGAACTCAATTCACGCAGTTGGTCAAATAAAGGGCCATAAATGGAACTATTTGCACGTCAAGGGGTTATGATCCTTTGTTTAAACATAATGAAACGAAAAATGGCTGTTTGCTAATTGGGTTTTGTGGATGTTGGTGTTGTGACTGGGGCAAACAGTTGGCTTTTTAAGCACGTCATTCTCAGCTATATTCCAATGATGCAAGTGTAAGCCAAATGCTGTCTGTTTTTTAATAGAGAAAAACTTGAAGTTTTGCCATTAATAGTAGGTTAACAGCAGCGGCTTTTCTTCGATTCCACTGTTAATTTTCTTGAGTTGCCTCTGTTGTGTTGCCATTTCTGTTGTTCGAGGAGCAGGTTGTAAGAAATCCTGGCAGTTGGCTTCAGTTGGCCACGAACCGTTGGACGGGCTGCAAGTGGGCTGACTGCCACGCCCCCATCCCCTGGCTCTTTAAAAGCACTCTGTTTTTACTTTTTTCAATTTATTTAAAGCATTTATAATTCATTTTTTTCGATTTGGCCTTTTCTGTGCGTGCTGCAGTTAACAACTCTTTAAATATTTGACATGATTTAGCATTTTTAATTGATAATCCCGCTGCCCCCCGCCTGCGTTTATGGTTCAATTTCAGTTTATGCATTTTCATAATGCTCGATGAATTCGAAATGCCGTGTTTGCATTTCAGCTTCGAGTGACTTTTTCAAAGCGATCCATTCGCTTTTGCCTAGCGAAAATGCAAAAATGCACATAGAATTTAATTTAATTTGCGCTCTGAAACTGCACACACACTCATGCACCATTTATCCACTTCTAATTAATTGCATTGCACAAGAACACAAAACGCAAAACATTCAAATGTGAATGTGAATGGGCAGACATGAACAAATATGGGCAAAAACACGCACTGAACAGGGCAGAAAGCGACACAAGATGAAAATATTCATTATTATTTGGCCAAATGGCGAATTAATGATATGAGCAAACAGGCCAAAGTGTTGTTGGCATGCGAATTATGCGAGCGGCTAGGAAAACAAAAGCACCCAGTTCGTTTGGTGCGATTTTTTAATTAAATATTTTAACACTAATCCAGAAGCGGGCAGAAGTGTCGGTGGAATCGGGATTAAGCAAAATATTTGAGCATCCGATCCGAGGGAAGTTCAAAGGCAAACAAAAGAGCAAGGCGAAAGGAGAAAAGCGAACTGAACCCAAGCGGAAGCGAAACCGGAACCGGAAACGACAGGCAATGGCGCTGCTTCACACAACTGTCACCGAAAATGCAGTCGTAAGGGTAAAATCCAGCCAATCGACCTTGGAGTACCCAGTAAAGATGTATAGAAAAAGAGCAAAAATGTTTATCTAGGGAGCCTGTTTTATTTAATTCCAAATATTTCGTTGAATGTTACCTTCATCTTTACCAGTTCATAGTAAGCCTAGACATTAGCAACAGTTTTGAACGCTTTCGTACTCAGAAAAATTGTGTTCCATTCAAATTTTGTACAGAAAGATTTCTTTGTTGGCATAAATTTTATTCAAAAACGCGAAACTCGGATAAGTGCAGTGCCCTGAGTAAGTAATATCGCCAAGATTGTACAGCGTTTCGTTCTGTAAACTAGATTTGCATTGCGTTTTAGGGATCTAAGAAGTAACAAAAGTTACATTTAAGCAAAGCATTAAATATCTCCCATCTCTTTCGACCGCGCTCTACCCCTTCTGCTTTCGGTCGTGTCAGTCGATCAGCTTGAATTTCATTGGCTATTACCAATTACAGGGAATCCCCGAAAGTATGCACAAAGTTGGGCCAGAGCAATTGAGCGGATCGGAGGAAGTTGGGGTCAAAGCCCCCACCCACTTTTTCCCACCGCTACCCATCTTGTTCAACCAAAATGCAAGAATACAGAGGAACAAAGTCCAAACTAGTCAAACAAAACAAAACAAAACGAGCTAAACAAAACACACAACGCAACAGGGAGCTGGTCATGTTTTTTGTTAATTAAAATTGGCATAGCTGCCGAGGGGCGAGGAGCAAGAGCTGGAAACAACATTTTTGCATTTTCATCAGTTTTTCGGGGCAGCCAACATTTGAACATTTGAACATTTCGACCGGCGACGAAAGCGCACAGGTCATAGGTCACACAGGAAGTAGAGAAAGAGCAGAATCAGAAACCTTCGCCTTTCAACTTTCAACCGAATGAATGCCACTTTTCGGAGAGTGTGCACTTATTTACCTTTGGAAAATTTCATTTTTCAATAGTCGACAACCCATTGAGGGCGGGTCCCCGATTTATGTGCTGCCAATAAATTTACGCAACACTTTGGCCCCCCGTCTAATACAATATTTACATCAAATCGGGCGATGAGAGCCGGGCGAAATAAAAAATTGCAATGCGTTTCTCTCAGCCAAGAGCTAGGAAGGGCGAAACAGCTTGAGGGCACTGAGAAAAATCATACTAATTACTGAAGGAAAAATGCACATCATAAATCCAAGTCCGTCCAAGTATTTCAGCACACTGTCAAATCTTAGCAACGTCAGCGGCAACGTCATATTAAGCGGGCACTGGAAATAGTTCTTCTCAGCATCTGCCGGCACACGTACAGCGTAGAACAGCTGCCGTCACATATTTATAACACATATAAAGGACAATATGTTAATGTGTTCCGTGCCGACCGCTGATCTAAGTTTGATATTTTTATAATGAGTTTATTATAAATAAGAAAGACAGGTACACCCCGTTTTTTCTCTGTGCACTTTCGCGTTTTGTACTGTTTCAGTTTTGCCTTACCTCCTCTTCCCTCCCCCTGGACTGTCATTTAAGTTAAAAGAGCATTTGAAAATGTAGGATGAGATCCCTGAGCGCCTTTTAAAAAGGCAAATCTGGCACAATATGCTTCTTTTCTTCTCTTAGCATTTGTTATAGTGGGCACACTTTATACTATGTATAGTCCCCATCCATAGCCAAGTGTTAAGTGTGTGCGGGCGAAATCTGGATCTGAATCTGGATCTGGATCGGCAACTGGAAATCATGTCCGAGGCCAAGACACAGATTTTCCATTAAGCCAAAATCGGGTCAAAGAAAATGGCCATAAATTCCTTGGGCAAACGCCTGTCAAAGGTCCAGGCCCGCTCAAATATTTGCCTCGTTTTTGATTTTGATTTCAGCTCTCCGCACGGTGATATTTTTCATTCATTCATTCGAGCGACTCGATTGGAATCGAATGCTGCCCTCCCTTTTGGCCCCATTTAAACTTATGACAGCCAGAGCCAAATGAATGTTTGCTCTCTTGCCTTGGCTTTGGTTTTTCCCTTTGGCCCAATAACATTCGGTACGAGCAAACAAAAAATGTTGCCATTAGTTAAAGTTCTGGCTATACTGTGGTGTATATGTATAAGGATTTCTGTTTATAAGTTTACGGCCTGAGATGTGAGTAGAAATAGTTACTAAGGCTCCCCGACCTATGTACTACCTATGATTTGCAGTATTTGTACATATGAATATCACTTTTCGGTGCTGATTGGCGCCTCCCCCCTTTAGCGCCCAATTTTTGGTTTCGTTTCGGGTTGTGCTTCCGGTTAGTCGAACCGTAATAAGTTTTCAACGGAGAACGGGGGTAACTCTCTTTCCAATTGCAGGCTAATAAGAAATGCGTGATGTGTTACCCTACACCCGAGTTTTTCTTCCTTTTTTCGGGTGTCGCACCCACTCGAATCAACTGGAGGGTGTGTAAATATTTGTTTCTAAACTTGTACACTTCTACACCACGTTCCTTGGTCGGTGGAACTTGTCCGTTTTTCTTTTCGCCCCTCCACAGCAAAACATTTCCAGCTCACGTTCGAAGGATCCAAGTCCACCTCCTGCGGTGAAAAGGGGAGAATTCTCGCGTGATTGTCTCATTAGTTGGAAATGGAGAATGCATTTCGTAGGGGCTGAGTACCAGAGTTGCACTGGACTGTGGTTCGGTTCGTTATCAAAGCTAGATAATGATTTTGGTTATTTGTTATTACCGTTTTTGAGAGGTGAGAAATATTTTTAAAATGACACACATAGTCGCCGTCGATTTTAATGTTCAAGTGAGTTTTGTGGAGCTGTATATATGGTTTGCCTTTGCCAGGAATACAACACGAGCTCAGTGCAGGTTTTGAAAAATCAGAAACACTAGAGTAGAGTAGAAGTAAGTGCACCATTGCTAACCACACACGTTTTCCATCTAACTTGTAGGTATTCCCGACCCCCAGTCAAGCTTCCAACAATTTTTACAAGATGAAGAACTTTGCCAATCCAAAAAACGTGTTCAAAAGCTGTTCCAGCCACGATGATATTTCCACAAAGTCCGCCCAGAAAAGAGCAGATTTAGCTGAGGGTTCTCAACCCGTTGCAGTTCCTCAGTTCACTGCACTAGCTACGGCCGCGAAGATTCAGGATCCCAAGAATGCTCAGAGCAAGATGATCCCGCCAGAGCCCCCGAAGCAGGGAAAGAACAAGAACAAGAAGGGCAAGAAGAATCAGAAGAATGTGCCTCGAACTCCTAGTCAGAACAGCAAGACCATCCCCATAGATTCCATTGCCAAGCAAAATCCAAATAGGGATGTTAAGCCAAAGGAGATGGAGGTGCAGGAGAAAGCAAAGGGGCAGAGGAAGGAGAATGCACAGGAGAAAGAAATAACCCAAGAGAAGGAGAAGAACCAAGAGAAAGAGAAGAACCAAGAGAAAGAGAAGGTCCCTGAAAAAAAGAAGGCCCAAGAAAAAGTGAAGGCCCAAGAGAAGGAAAAGGCCCAAGAGAAAGAAAAGGTCCAAGAAAAGAAAAAGGCCCAAGAGAAGGTTAAGGTCCAAGAAAAAAATAAGGCCCCAGAGAAAAATAGGGCTCAAGAGAATGGAAAGGCCCAACAGAAAGGGAGAGCCCAAGAGAAAGAAAAGAGGCCGGAGCAGAAGAAAGGGCAGGAGCAGAAGAAAGGGCAGGAGCAGAAGAAAGGGCAGGAGCAGAAGAAAGGGCAGGAACAGAAGAAAGGGCAGGAACAGAAGAAAGTTCAGGAGCGCAAGAATACAGTGCAGGAAAAGAAGGTGCCCGTGAAGGTTTCGGAGAAAAAAGTGCAGGAGAATAAATCGGTTGCTAAGATTTCAGAGAAGTCGGCGGATAAGGTTTCGGAGAAATCAGCCGATAACATTTCGGAGAAGAAGTCGGCCGATAACATTTCGGAGAAGAAGTCGGCCGATAACATTTCGGAGAAGAAGTCAGCCGATAACATTTTAGAGAAGGTTCAGGAGAAGCTCACCGCACAAAAACGGTTAGAGCTAAAGATCGAAAAGAAGCTGTCACAGCAAAGGCTTAAAGATAAAATTATAGATCCCAGGATTTATGAAATAACTTACCCACTTGTCGAGAAAGTTTCTCAATTGGTTTCCCAGCCGATTGCAGAGGTCCAAGTTGAGGAGGATGCAGTTGAGGTGCCCACTCTTCCCGATCTACTGCCCACTGATTCCACTGAGCGCATTGAGCCCCCAAGCGATGTCAGCGTAGAGGAGCTGGCATTCGAAGCCGAGGAGAACGAGTCTCAGGAGCCCGAGTTCCAGGAGCCCGAGTCCCAGGAGCCCGAATCCCAGGATCCCGAGTCCCAGGAGCCCGAAGAACCCGAAGGGCCCGAAGAGCCGCAACATCCACTCAACAACTGCTGGACTCTGTGGTATCTGGAGAACGATCGCACCAAGACCTGGGAGGAAATGCTGCACGAGGTCACCAGCTTCGATACCGTGGAGAACTTTTGGAGCCTGTTTACCCACATCAAGCCGCCGTCGGAGCTAAAGGTCGGCTGTGACTACTGTCTCTTCAAGAAGGGCATTCGTCCGATGTGGGAGGACGAGGCCAATGTCCACGGAGGACGCTGGGTCATCAGCCTGAACAAGACCACCAAGACGGACCTGGACAACTTTTGGGTGGACTCGATGCTCTGTCTGATCGGCGAGGCCTGTGACAACGCGGCGGAACTGTGCGGCGCCGTGGTGAACATTCGCGCAAAGACCAACAAGATCTCGATTTGGACCGCTGACGGGGGGAAGGAGGAAGCTGTCTTGGAAATCGGACGCAAGTTGCGCGAGGGTCTGCGCATGGATAGCGCCTATACGCTGCAGTACCAGCTGCACAAGGACACCATGGTAAAGCAGGGATCTACTGTCAAGTCAATATTTACCCTACAGTAACAGAACCTGATTTCAAACGAATGGCAGCCAAAAATCAAAAATCAAGCAGCGAACAGCGCAGCCATCATCAGGCCCATGTGGTCCATTTTATTTATTTTCGGTATTTTTTCACCAAGGAACACTAAACCGTCTAGCAAGGCACAAACCCCCCGTTCGGACCCATCCATTATCCATCTTTCAGATGTCGATTGGATGCCAAATCTTCAGTCAAGTCTTCCTTGTACATGTTGTACATACATACATAAATTTTAACGTTGCTCTCACAAAGCGAAGAAATATATAATCGAATGAGTGTTAAGCCATCACAAAGTTGATTTTCATTTTCTTGTGGTCTTACCTAGCTTACAAAAGTTCTTGCTACAATCTTGAAGGAAAATATCGTATCTCTATAGGCAAGTTCAAGCACTCATGTTCTTATTACAAGCTTAAGGGAAAATATTGTATCTTTATAAGAATCCTTATAAGGTTTGGATAATCAAGAGTATTGAGGTATTTAATTTGCTAACACAAAAGGAAACAATTTTTTTTACTTGGAAATTATAAGAATATTGATAATTTAAAGTCATAGTTTCCAAAGTTTTAAAAGATATAGCTTATTTATGTTAAAAGTCTTTTATTTAGTTATCCCAATCGCCATTACAGAAAAGAAAAAAAGGTCGAATAAGTATTATTTCTTAATTAAACATTAGCTTATTACTCTTGCGTTATTTATCTTTAGACTATTGAATATCGTGAGAATTTGTAATTGAGAATGATGCAGGTCCCCTTGAGGGGGATAATACTGTATCCTATATGGATTGAAATTTCAAGAGCGTTGGGGAACTGTATCTTGAGCAGTGGAAATCTTCATATCTGGATGCGACAAGCTTTCCTTTCCCTCACTTATCACCCAGGTCCGGTTCTCACTGCAAAATCGAAGAACATGCTACATTGTGTGTCTCGATTTCTCAGTGGCAGTCGGTCTACTTGATGTTCTTTGTCTGCTTCGCTGGCTGCTCTGCTCACCACTGGAGCATTCAGATGTGGGCTGCCAGCTTTTTGTTGGGGGCCACATTGGACATGGGGCATTGGACATTGGACATTGGACGACGGACATGGGACATTTGGACATTGGACACATTGGACTTATTTGGCGCACGCCATCACAAAACTTGGCCGCGCTCAATTGTTTGATTTATTGACATTTATTGGCAGTTGGCATTTTATTGTGACTGCTTTTGGGTGGCCAAGTAGGGGGCAGCCAAATAATGGTGGAGGCAGGTGAATTCGAATTCCCGTGGCAGTGAGTTCCAATTCCTTTTGTTGCTGCTCTTGGCCACTTTACTTCCACTCGATTGGGTTTTATGTGCTTAATGTATTTTCTGTGCCTTGTAACTATTTTCGTTCCTCCTAATTTCTCCCTGAGCTCTCTTTTGAGCCTTTGATCGCTGGCCCTTTGCCCAGTAGATTTTCTATTTACAAAATATTCGGGTTCTGGTTGTGGTGACTTGACATTAAAAGGTCAAGGACCAGGTGCTTTTTCCGTGTACGAGCCATAAAAGTGAGCTCACCTATATTTCGCCATTGATTTATGGCACTTAATTTCGTTCCATTGTGCCAAGGGGGCAAAGCCATTGATTAAACACTTTAACGATTTTTATGGCCACGAACTATAGTGGGTACTCATTAGAGGAAAATTGGGGGAATGGGAATGGGAGTGGGAGTGGGAAAGGGGCAAGGAAGAGAAAGAGAAAGCACTTTCCTTTTAGCAGCAAGCGAATCGATTTGGCACACGATCTCGAAGGGGGAGAAACACGGGTAAGGGGATTTGCGGATGAGCTCGATGTTTAACAATGGAATTGCCAATAAAACGAAACGGAAAATCTGTAAATATGCTGAGTGAAAAGGGCCGGGGAACCACGCCGCACATTTCACGGATAACAATTGCCAAAAAGTCCACGGCACTCGTCTTCCCTATAAATAAAAAATGTAAGAAAACATTCCTGACTATTGCTTACTCTTTTTATTTCAGTTTATTTTTAAAGTATTTAAACTATGAATATAAAACTAGTTATAAAATATTTTTGTGTAGCACTCTTTTAGGCAGCGAGTTGGAAAGAAACTACATATATTCCAAAGCCAAGCTATGAAAAAAGCCACTTCAGTTTATTTTATTTACTTTCACACAAGTCTTCATAAATACCCGACATTTAAACCCGTTTAGGTGGATGCGATGCAAATAGAAGTTGACTTCCGAACGTTGCATACACCTCTGCGCAGCCAATAAACCCCTCCAATCTGCCCCGAAAAAGATAGGAAAGCAAATTTACCTTTAAGCTGCCAACTACCCCAAACTACAAGGCCCAAAGAGGGCCGCCCCACAGGTGGCATTTGTGTTGTAAAGCGTCGATTTACATGCGTGCTGTATGCACAGGGGGAAATACATACAGATATATACATACAGATATATATATCTGTGGTAAGGGCAGCAAGGCGCTGACGAATTTCAATTTATTTACTTTTATTTGCGTATGCAAAATAGTCGGCTGCGGCTTGATTTTGGTTAGCACACACACAGGCGAAAAGAAATCCAGAAGATACCAGGGAGCTTTGGCAAGAGGTTACCGAGCTCTTTAACCTACGCTCCTTTGGTCCTTAAAGCTGTTGAGGTACGACAAGCCTGCGAGGACGAAGAGTGCGCTAGAATTCCAAATCATCTTAAGTCCCGGATGATCTCAGTCTGAGCTCTGCATGGGGGATTTCGTAGGTCAGCGCAGGCAATGAAGTGAGCTTTGATATATTAGATATTTAAAAATACGTTGATAAAGATAAATTTCAACGATTACAGCGCTCAAAATAATTAAAGGAACTGAACTGAAGTCAATTTCATTTTGGAGATACCAAGTAGCGATAGAAAAAGCTCAAGAAACCGGTACTCACTCAAGTTAAAGAGCCCGTATCCTATGCACAACCCAGCCAGCTGAAAAGAGGCCCCTCGTTGTGTCGGCCCGGGACAAATAGGTGCCCCGCTTCTGACACTTGCCCCGATACACAATCCATAATCCATAAAGGCACACGGCCACCTCTCTCTTTTCACCCCGCCTTTCCAGGACAAGACAGGACATTTATGTTCCGGATCCGGACGAAAGGCGAACATGTCATATGGAAATACTCGAGCGGGTCCCCGGGCCAAATGCACAGGCAGAAAAGCAGCACCCCGATTTCAATTTCGAGATGTGTTGGAGATGAGTGATGGATAATTTCCTGTTCTGTTTCCATTGGTATTTTTCCGAAAATCCCAAATTCTTCAGATTTTTAAATAATATTTGATCCCAGTGATATTTATAGGTTGTTATGCGGGCCAATATGATATGCCAAGTCACAAACCTTTTTCCAGTGTGGGGGCTCTCCCCGCTGGCCCGAAATTGTGCTAATTATACGGCCATGGCTAATGCCGGAACATTGTGTGTGGGTCCCGGGCTCCGAGTACTGAGTACTGGCTACTGGGCTATGGGCCCTGAATAAGTCATATCGCTGGTGTGATTACCTCTGGTCGGTCGGGGGTTCAATGGCCATTTGCACGATATGTCAATCAGTCGTTGGCCTCCACTTATATGGACGGGAAATGGGAAATATGCCGGCCAAACAGCAGGAGGAAATGTGTTTGCCAAATTGTTGCAACAAATTTGTAGCTGCATTAATTAAATGCGGCCACGCACGAGGCGCACGGCTGCCATTCGATATGTAAATGTGGCGGCTCCCAATAATCCAGTGCATATTGGATCAAGCCCAAGGCACCTCATTAGTGTTGTTCCGTCAATCTCCGCAGGCCGAGATCGAAAGCATGCATTGGAGAAACATGCGGCACAGGAAAACATGATATCTAATTCTATCATAAGTACTTCGGGAAAATGTATTGCCGCCGTTTTGTTCTCTCTCTGAAGTTTGCAGAGGGCAGGATCTAAACTATGGACAGTTTTATACATAAACAAGAACAAAGGAAGCTATCCACCGATTATTCCAAAGGAAGATATAAGAAGCTAATCAAGAATTCAAACACTTTATAGGGTCGTAAATGTCTCCTTCTCTGCGTTGCAAACTGAAATTATAATAAAGCCCGAGTTATGATAGAACCATAGCTTTTTGAGGTATAAAGTTTGTAAACCTTGTCTGTAATCTTCAGTGCTCGCCTCCCCTGACTTGAATCAAAAGCAATGTCCAGGGTACTTTGAGTAATTTGCACCCACATCTTCATTCTGACTGACCTGCGGGTCCTTCGTTTAGGCCAGGACTCCATTAAGTTCAAATTGAATCGATTGTTTAGCTGTGATCAAGATAACTGGCAACTAAGCCGACAGACGAGTCCTGGGAGACAGTCTTCCAGCCCCTTCTTCTTCCGTTGCTTCTTCTGCTGAAGCTGGAACTGGAACTGAAGTTGAAGTTGAAGCTGAAGCTGGAGCAAGTGCACTTGGCTGGCAAATGTTGACATTTCTTCTTGGGGATTTCAGCTCGCTTGTGCGCTTGGATTTTGTTTTTATTATGATTATTTTAACTGCTAAGGCAAAGACAAACACACAGAGGGTTTTGCCAGGGAGGGTGGATGGGGTGGCGAAGGAGCATAAAATGCAATTTTCCAAGGGACGAGGGGAGCGAGGGACGAAGGACGAAAATGGGTTTGGCGTCGAGCTTTCGAGCCAAAGCCAGACAAAGTGAAATGCAATAAAACAAAGGCCAGCGAGGAAAGCAGGCAAGGCAAGGAGTGGCATCCCTGCAACTGTCTTGTCTTGTCTTTGCTGCTCGAATGCCTGCAGCTGTGACCCCTGAACCCACAGCACCACCCTAGAACCGACCTAGAACCGACCTAGAACCACCCTAGCACCACCCACGGAAAGCGCAACGCATTTACAGCGCAATGATTCAAATTGTCGCCTCGGATTATGGATTTATTACGCGTCTCTTTTCTCGTAAGCTGCCAGCGAGAAGCTGCAATTGTGCATGCTGCTTGCAATTACTATCAATGCTCCCATATTTTTAGTCTTCTTTTTTTATTTTTTTTTTGCGCCACCACTTCCCCTTTTAGCGAAAATGTGCCAGTAATTCGCGTTGACAATTTTTCGGGTTTAGCTGGCATAGCAGAGATATCATATCCTTTGTTTTCTTAAGCTTTAACGCGGTCTGAACTTCGGAGACGAAATGCTTTATCTCAGTAGAGTTCACCTTGGTTCTTGGTTCTGAGTGCTATGGAAATACATGGCTAAATTGGAAACAGCTTATGTGCTCTTCTTGGTAGCCTTAACTTAAGGATATGCCCAACCTTTTATTTAAT